GTTCAAGCCTACTTTCATATGTCATCAATGTAAATTGAAGTTCTCTCCAAGACATATGACCTCTACTGTTTAGTTGAACAACAATTGGCGTGTAGTCTTCATCTAGCCTCGCTAGGACTTAGTGATTTGATCAGTGTGAGCAATGGTTTTCACAGCAATTTCTAAGTTATCAGAGAGTTTTTTACCTTATTCAGGTACTGATCTATGCTCATATTGCCTTTCCTGCATTTTGAAGTTCACCAATGAGAAAAATTATCCTTGATCTATTTTGGACTCCATAACTTTCTTAAATGGCAGTCCACAGTCCATTAGAGTTGATTGCACACATCACTCTCATTGCTATATCTGAAGTCATGGATGAGTAAAGGCATCCCATCAACAGTTGATCTGTTGAAATCCATTGGCAAAACTCCGGGTTCTTCACCATTTCTATACTGTTTCAGGCACTGATCTATGCTCATATTACCTTTCCTGCATTTTTTAAGTTCACCAATGAGGAAATTATCCTTGATCTCTTTTGGACTCCATAGCTTTCTTCAATGGCTGTCCACAGTCCATTCGAGTTGATTGCACCCATCACTTTCATTGCTATATCTGAAGTCATCCATCCCATCAACAGTTGATCTGTTGACATCCATTGGCAAAACTCCAGGTTCTTCACCATTTCTATACTGGTTTCAGCTTCTCCATTAATTTGATTACCAATAAATTCTTGAGAACACACCTTTGTCCCAAGTATATAGCCTTCCAGATTGTGGCCTTTGATAATCAGAATGATCATATTCTTCTATAGCAAATAGTTGTTCTTATCAAGCTTGACAGATACGGTTTGAGTGAAGTTGACACTAAACGGTGAGAGCTGAGTGTTTCCAAGTGTTGGTGCAGCAGTGCTGCTGGAAAGGGATGCTGGAGCAGCATTTTGAGGCGTGCTAGTGGCATTGGCCATGGCCGCTCTGATGCCAAGTAAAAATATATATCAAAGTGAAGAAGATAATGCTGAAACCGTGATAGATATTGATTTGATCTGATTGTATATATAATACATCATATTGCCAAATGAATAATCTAGAACTTATAGTTGTTAGGCAGCTCCTTGAATTATGGATCATGTAGGAATCTTTCATAACTATATTGTGGTCCAGGGACAGCAAAGGAGAACGGCTAGTACAGCAAGATTCAATTGAACTTAGACTAGTACGGCTAAGTCATCAATGATATATACAAAGATAAGGCTTATGTGGAGTAGCTCCATGGTCAATGGAGCTAGACACCAACTCCTTGCTGAATGGAGCTAGCAGCACTAGCTCCATGGGGAATGGAGCTAACCATTATTCTTAACAATGCTGAATTATCTGGATTTTCTTAACAAGACCTTGAAGAAATTAGACAACTGCATGCAAGTAGCACTGCCATTGATAGGGAAAAAAGATTCAATTGAACTTAGACTAGCAAAGCTTTGCCTTGAAATGAACATACCCTAACTTAGACATTTGTAGAGGCTCACAAATCCTACATGTTGCCTGTGGGGATTCCATTTATAAAGATACTGGGTAAGAACTCTCCAAGAAATGTTCACGAGAGAGAAGTCATTCATATGAACTATGTAAATTATGATGCTCATCGGGACCTTTTTAGGGTACTGGATAACACGTCTTTGCATAAATGGTATAAAGATTCTTAAGATGACGAAAACATGGAGATTTTGCCGAATAGATATCATCATCAAGGCGTGAAGCGATTGGCTCAATGGTTCATTTCAATGGCTTTTGCTCCTGATGGTCTGACTGAAGGGTTTTAAGACCCTGATGCCTGTAATCCTGAGAGGGCAAGTTTATTATGGGACTACAATTTCATCCAGAAAGAACGAGACAGGCAGAGTGTGATGATTTTGATTATCCAGGATTTGCATCTGCATACCAGGTAGCTTTGCATTGCACATATTGTCTCAATATACCAGTAATAATTAGGACTTCCTACACGTCGACTTCTATCCAGTATTGTGCATCAAACATGCTTCGACCGATCTAAGACATCTTGTTATTGTGTAGGAATTCGTAAAAGCTGTAACAGCTTTCAAGAAAAAACTTGATGAATAACAAGTGAGCCAAAACGTCTCAAATTTGATCAGGAGTTTTAAGAAAACGAGAAACAGCGTTGTTGGAGCCCGAGTTCACAATTCCATGGCAGTTCCTACTTGCAACATAAGCGTAGCAGGGAAGCACACAGTCAAGGCATGCACACGCAATCACAATTACCAAATGACGTACAACTTTGAAGAAGTAATATATCTAAAAATCCATTAGTAAGCTACCTTCTACTTTGAAAAGTTACAGTTATACATATCACAAAGGGGCTAGAGCTCGCCCCCCACTCTGATTCTAACAAAATCCCCTCAGAAGTGCAGACATAAATTACAACAACATATACATTATCCTCAAGACAGAAAAGATTACCTGTTTTGTAAAATTGCTATATAAAAATAAGCAGGAAAAGTTGAAAAGACAAGATGTGCAGATTTTTTGACAAGCCAAAGTGCTGCATACGATTCCTGGTTCAGCTTAGACTACAAATGTACTTAAACTCATTCTAATACTAGTCACCTCTCAGACAATTCTGCAATTTTTGAACTCCCTTTTTCTTTTTCTCCTGTACCTTTCTTCCCCTTCATTTTTGTTCTATTTTTTTTTTTCAGTTATTATTTTCATTTTTTGGTTTTGGGGGTGGCTTAGTCAATTCTCATAATAGTTAACTACAGCACAATTACATGGGAAAGAACCACTTCCTCATAGATAGACACCCAGTATCAAAAGCATAAAATGGTCTGAGCTAATGACAGAATTGATGTTATCTCTAGATTTCATCAACGGCAGAAGAAAAGGAAATCTGGGTGGTTGACGTATCGTAACGTCAGCCAATCATCAACAGCCTGCAAGAGGGAGTTTGCCGATTGGCATTGACATCCGGCATTCGAAGTCCACAATGAATCTTTATATTTGTACGAAGCAAGACCAAAAACTGGCAAGCGATTCCTGGGGATGCCGTCCATCTCACTGGGGTATGTGACAATTGGAGGATGCATAACCTCGCTACCTGAAACGAGTACAAATGCGAGTATAAAATACCATAACAGTGGAAGCGATCAATGAAAATGCAAAATATATCATACTAGCAAGCTGAAGTCCATATATTTCAGAGGAAGGAGCAAGTAAACCCATGGTGTCCACATAAAATTTTGAAACAAAAAATGGAGGAAATACAGCAGGCACTAGAAAAAATAGCACAACTGCCTGCAATTTGGTTCAAGAAATACTAAGAGCATGTTTGGGTAAAAGCTTACAAGTCAGTCAAACTTGAAAATTAATTTTTTCATTTAGTGAATCTTCCACCCATACTTGGCTTGTTAGATCTAAAGTGGCCAAAACCTGACCCCTGGGAGATGTTTACTGAGATTTGTTCAATGTTCAGTCCTGTCATTTTATTCCTGATAGAGTTGAGATGTTCAAGCCTACTTTCATATGTCATCAATGTAGATTGAAGTTCTCTCCAAGACATATGACCCCTACTGTTCAGTTGAACAACAATTGGTGTGCAATCTTCATCTAGTCTCGCTAGGACTTGAGTGATTAGATCAGTGTGAGCAATGGTTTTCCTAGCAATTTCTAAGTTATCAGAGAGTTTTTTAGCTTATTCAGGTACTGATCTATGCTCATATTGCCTTTCCTGCATTTTGAAGTTCACCAATGAGAAAAATTATCCTTGATCTATTTTGGACTCCATAGCTTTCTTCAATGGCAGACCACAGTCCATTCGAGTTGATTGCACACATCACTCTCATTGATATATCTGAAGTCATGGATGAGTAAAGGCATCCCATCAACAGTTGATCTGTTGAAATCCATTGGCAAAACTCCGGGTTCTTCACCATTTCTATACTGGTTCTAGCTTCTCCATTAATTTGATTACCAATAAATTCTTGAGGACACACCTTTGTCCCAAGTATACAACTTTCCAGATTGTGGCCTCTGATAATCGGAAGAATCATATTCTTCCACAGCAACTAGTTGTTCTTGTCAAGCTTGACAGATACGGTTTGAGTCAAGTTAACACTAAATGGTGAGAGCTGAGTGTTTCTAAGTGTTAGTGCAGCAGTGCTGCTGGAAAGGGATGCTGGAGCAGCATTTTGAGGCGTGCTAGTGGCGTTGATCATGGCCGCTCTGATGCCAAGTAAAAATATATATCAAAGTGAAGAAGATAATGCTGAAACCGTGATAGATATTGATTGATCTGATTGTATATATAATACATCATATTGCCAAATGAATAATCTAGAACTTATAGTTGTTAGGCAGCTCCTTGAATTATGGATCATGTAGGAATCTTTCATAACTGTATTGTGGTCCAGGGACAGCAAAGGAGAACGGTTAGTACAGCAAGATTCAATTGAATTTAGACTAGTACGGCTGAGTCATCAATGCTATATACAAAGATAAGGCCGATGTGGAGCAGCTCCATGGTCAATGGAGCTAGACACCAACTCCTTGCTGAATGGAGCTAACAACACTAGCTCCATGGGGAATGGAGCTAACCATTATTCTTAACAATGCTGAATTATCTAGATTTTCTTAACAAGAACTTGAAGAAATTAGACAACTGCATGCAAGTAGCACTGCCATTGATAGAGAAAAAGATTCAATTGAACTTAGACTAGCAAAGCTTTGCCTTGAAATGAACATACCCTAACTTAGACATTTGCAGAGGCTCACAAATCCTACATGTTGCCTGTGGGGATTCCATTTATAAAGATACTGGGCAAGAACTCTCCAAGAAATGTTCACGAGAGAGAAGTCGTTCATATGAACTATGTAAATTATGATGCTCATTGGGACCTTTTTAGGGTACTGGACAACACGTCTTTGCAAAAATGGTATAAAGATTCTTAAGATGACGAAAACATAGAGATTTTGCCGAATAGATATCATCATCAAGGCGTGAAGCGATTGGCTCAATGGTTCGTTTCAATGGCTTTTGCTCCTGATGGTCTGACTGAAGGGTTTTAAGACCCTGACGCCTGTAATCCTGAGAGGGCAAGTTCATTATGGGACTACAATTTCATCCAGAAAGAACGAGACAGGCAGAGTCTGATGATTTTGATTATCCAGGATTTGCATCTGCATACCAGGTAGCTTTGCATTGCACATGTTGTCTCAATATACCAGTAATAATTAGGACTTCCTACAAGTCAACTTCTATCCAGTATTGTGCATCAAACATGCTTCGACCAATCTAAGACAGCTTGTTATTGTGTAGGAATTCGTAAAAGCTGTAACAGCTTTCAAGAAAAAACTTGATGAATAACAAGTGAGCCACAACGTCTCAAATTTGATCAGGAGTTTTAAGAAAACGAGAAAGAGCGTTGTTGGAGCCCGATTTCACAATTCCATGGCAGTTCCTGCTTACAACAGAAGCGTAGCAGGGAAGCACACAGTCAAGGCATGCACACGCAATCACAATTACCAAATGACATACAACTTTGAAGAAGTAATATATCTAAAAATCCATTAGTAAGCTACCTTCTACTTTGAAAAGTTACAGTTATACATATCACAAAGGGGCTAAAGCTCGCCCCCCACTCTGATTCTAACAAAATCCCCTCAGAAGTGCAGACATAAATTACAACAACCTATACATTATCCTCAAGACAAAAAAGATTACCTGTTTTGTAAAACTGCTATATAAAAATAAGCAGAAAAAGTTGAAAAGACAAGATGTGCAGATTTTTTGACAAGCCAAAGTGCTGCATACGATTCCTGGTTCAGCTCAGACTACAAATGTACTTAAGCTCATTCTCATACTAGTCACCTCTCAGACAATTCTGCAATTTTTGAACTCCTTTTTTCTTTTTCTCCTGTACCTTTCTTCCCCTTCATTTTTGTTCTATTTTTTTTTTCAGTTATTATTTTCATTTTTTGGTTTTGGGGGTGGCTTAGTCAATTCTTATAATAGTTAACTACAGCACAATTACATGGGAAAGAACCACTTCCTCATAGATAGACACCCAGTATCAAAAGCATAAAATGGTCTGAGCTAATGACAGAATTGATGCTATCTCTAGATTTCATCAACGCCAGAAGAAAAGGAAATCTGGGTGGTTGACGTGTCGTAACGTCAGCCAATCATCAGCAGCCTGCAAGAGGGAGTTTTCCAATTGGTGCTGACATCCGGCATTCGAAGTCCACAATGAATCTTTATATTTGTACGAAGCAAGACCAAAAACTGGCAAGCGAATCCTGGGGATGCCGTCCATTTCACTGGGGTATGTGACAATTGGAGGATGCATAGCCTCGCTACCTGAAACGAGTACAAATGCGAGTATAAAATACCATAACAGTGGAAGCGATCAATGAAAATGCAAAATATATCATACTAGCAAGCTGAACTCCATATATTTCAGAGGAAGGAGCAAGTAAACCCATGGTGTCCACATAAAATTTTGAAACAAAAAATGGAGGAAATACAGTAGGTACTAGAAAAAATAGCACAACTGCCTGCAATTTGGTTGAAGAAATACTAAGAGCATGTTTGGGTAAAAGCTTAAAAGTCAATCAAACTTGAAAATTAATTTTTTCATTCCGAACATGTTTGGTTGAGCTTATAATGACAAATTTCCCTTAACCAAAAAAAAAAAAAGTTGATAATAAGAGAGACAATGCTTGACTTCACATATCATTATAGATAAAGAACTAAGTATTGAGGTCAAATATGAAATGGCTTGATTTTTTCTAGAAAGTACAGAAAATGAGCATACAAAACAAAGCGGGGGTGAAGATGGACAATACATAAAAATAACATGTAATACTGAAACAGATTCCATGTGGAGTCGTGTATAAGAGAGAGGGAGAAAGAGTTTCTGGTACCTGTCACGGGTGTGTGAAAAGAATGGTAGGTCAGAAAGCAAGCATCCAAATCATTGAGTGTTTGTCCCGTTGGTATCCTGTAAATAGGATACCTACAAAGTAAATGTTTCCCCATGAGTCATTCTTATTGTTTCACACAGATCAGTAAATGAGTCAAGAATCACATGAATTTACAAATAATGATACCAGGCCACGCTAATCCAACTGGAGTGGAGTATATCACAACTTCTGAGAGTTTTTAGTTCAGGGAAGTGGAGAGCAAGATCATATATCTGTGATAATTTCAGTATAGGAAGCATGAGGAATAGAGAACAGAACTGTTATCCAAATTCTTAGCCCCAAATGAAATTAAAAGGAAAAAAAAATACATATGATGCATTCAGAATCAGGAAAGGAACACACATTGTCTGCCAAAGGCTCTCGACTGTAAGGTTGGTCCCTTTCAAGATACTCAAACAACAAGCAACCTTGTGAACTTCCAGATTCACTTTCATCACTAGAAAAACCTTCTAGAAATGCTATATTCTGGTCTCTCACGGACAATTGGTCTATTCTAAGAGGATTATCACTTGACTGACAATGATAACAATGTTGTTGGCTTAAATAATTCAAACCGCCTCTATCATGTCCACAGTCGCTGCTTCCATCGCTACTAGAATCCTCAAAACTATCACCATCACTTTCCTCACTAAGTCGCCTATCACACACGTAAAAGCCACACTTGTTTGAGGAACATTAATTATCCAAAACTATAAATGAGTAGTAAATCAGTGTTACTAAATTAATTAAGAAAGGAGAGAAGGCCTAATCATATTAGACACAACACATTGTAACTTCTAGAACAACAGCCAAGAATAAAAAAATGGAGTAAAGGAAACCGGTAAGCATTTTGACAGGAAAAAAAAATTACAATGACTCAGCAGAAAACCCTGAGGTCACATAATTAAGATGCATATGATATTGATTTTTCCAGTTCTCAATGGGAAAATAGCAAGTTCAATTCCAGATAAGAGATGCCCACAAGCATTGTACGTTGTAATTTTATGCTAAATTCAGGGATCACAAATATATAAAAACAGACTCCCATGCATCTCAGAGCCAAAAATCATCTTATTTATACAGAATATAGCCATCCACACAAGAGTAATACAGAAGAACTTGGATGCCATGTAACACTCATCTGTCTGTGTATTTCAGTGAGTAAAGAGTGGGCGAGTGTGTTCAGGCATCACACGTCTGAACATAAAAAGTAAAAACACAAGATACACTCTGTGATTTGCCACTTAGAGTTCATTTGTTACTCTAGAAAGTAGCGAGATATGTTTCTTCCTGTATGTAACAGAAACCTACTTGTAAACATATATACTGAAAGATAATTGACTAACTGCAAAATATTGAGTTGGTTATAGCTTCAATAGCCGTTACGAACGTAAATAACTAGGCATTGTGAAATTATATAAGCAGACTAAAAAAAGTTACTCCATGGATTGCTAGCAAATTAAAGAAAATAGTAATATGTATACAAAGATGAAAAAGGGAGCAGAAAGAGAAATCAGTCATTTTGTTGAATGTGAGAGAAATGAGTGAAACAAATTGCAAGGCAATTAAATGACAGAGCTTAAAAACAATTCTCCATCTATTCATGACAGCTATAACCTTATTTCCAACTTTGATACCTTCCAAGGGACACTTTCCGAAATGTCCTTGATTTAAAGTGGCTCACGTAACTAAAAAAAAAAAATTTAACCATTACTTTTGTGGAAAACGGAAGTGTTCCATCGAAAAACATTTTTTTCAACTCTTATCATAAACTCGGAGCCAATTTAAACCAAGACATTCTATTGTGAATGATGGGAGCATAAGTAACCTTCCAACGTAGGGAAACATGCAGATGCATAAAATGACAGCTGTAAAAGAAGCCCTCACAGGGTGGATCTCTTACATACGAAGTGGACCAAATAGATACGTATAGTATTCAGTTAAGCTTTGAAGTTAAGACCATAGAGAGCATAGAAAGATCAAACAATGGATTTGTCTCCTCAAACAATTGCCTCTCTATCTTCATATTCAAAATTATTTAATAAACTTCTAAAATACTGAACTAGGACCGTGCAATCATTTTATTTGGGGTTAACACTATAACTAATCTTCCTCTGATGTTACACAATATCCATGCCCAACATAATATAAACTCTCTACTTGGCTACGTAGTAAATTGATTCGAAACATCGACTAACATTACAGTAACATATGCAAACGAACACCTTATTTCCTGCCCAACAAAGATTGACTCTTTTATAATATGCCCAAAAAAACTCTAATTTTCTTTCATAACTTTTAGTTTCTTTGGTATGCAATCTTGAAGTCGTCATATAGTTGCAGATAATATATACCATCAAAGTTCAAACAATGTTCTCAAAATCATTTTAGGATTAAATATTATATATTTGTGCAAAGTTTATGCATGGGACCTTGCCTATAGCTCGTATCAATAACCTTTTGATAATCCTGGCAAGACTACAATACAATCGTATCTACTGTATATTTAAAAGATACCGTGGAGGCATAGATGCTCCAAAGACACATTACTAATCAGCATCATACGCCTACATGGTTATACATACATGTGTGTGCACGCACAAGCATATATATATACGTACATGTGCATGTTTATATGAGATTTAAGACATAACACACACACATTCAACCCCCCAACCATCCCTTCTCTCATCCTCACATATACAGGAATCCATAATGACAATGATAAAAAAACATGCATTCTATTTTCATTTACAAATAAAACAAATCCAAGACTTTATTTTCTGCTTGGACACCTGTGTTCAAAATCATCCACAACAATCAACATCATCACTGCTCAACTTGGATGAGTTCATTCTTGGAACTTGGAAGTATCCATCTTTCACATGGTAAACACAATTTGCTACAGAATGATTATTTGTCAAAACAGTGTTGAACCATCCATAAGTTGAAAAATCAGAAGTTGTTATTGGGTAGAAACTTAAAAATGGAGTTTCCTAGAGTAGCTAGGTGATCACAACAACAACAATAATAATGTAAACAGAATTCACCGACTTGATCTAAACAGTCAATATCCTGCATGAAAGGGAACACAAGAACAGCATGACTTTGAGTCTTTCTGCATTAGTTTCTCCTTTATTTTTCCTTTGGAAAATATATTATGCTTCTCTTAACTTGTGCCCCAAAAGATCAGTATTTATCTGAAAGGAACTTATGCAATAAGTATGTACCTTGATTTTGCTGAACTCTTTGAATGGTCAGCATACAATTGAATACCCGATAAATAGGGCACGCAATATTGAACCACGGAATCACTCTCATTCAATATCAATGGCACTCCAGCACCATATGCACTCCATTCCTTGAATGACTCCCATAAATCACCTAGCACAAAGTATGGCTGAAACTCCACATTGCATGTTTTCCATCCTCTTATCGTTGTCTGTTAATAATTTTCAAACATATTAAGTCAGAGTCCATTTCAACAAAACATCAATAGCAAATAGACAAGATAAAACTCATTGATTTGAGATTTTCAACGTGTTAGCATTACATCTTTCAACATAAATTTCTTGTAATAAAATATAACAGCGTAAAAGTGTAGAAATGATGAAAAAATTCACGATTTTAAATTTCAGTAAACTATTCTTTAAAGTTTAACTGAAAAATACGATTTTATATCTACTTTAGGTTCAGCACCTGCACGTTGCTCCAACAGCATAAATTTGTAACAGAAAACAATCGATAAAAACCAAAAAAAATCAGATCCTTCCATCAATTACTGATGCGAAAACACACTTAATTCAGATTCTAAATGATGGGCATAAATCTTGTAAATTTAGAAACATGAAGAAGCAATGAGAGATGACCACTTCAACAAACTCTAAAATAGTTTAAAACAATAAAAATCATCAAAATACCTAGTAAATTACTACGTCAAAACAACCAACGAAACAATTGTCAACAAGCTACAACCTTTGAAGAATGAAGTCTCATCTAAGCAGTATACTATTTTCCATAGCCAAAGTACTTCTAAAATCGCATCAGATATCCTTATATCATCAATAGAATAAACCCATCTTTTAGAACTAATTACTACTGATAAAGTTAAATACTAATTAAGCACAAATTCCAAAACATCAATTAATTTACAATAAGGGAAACCTTGGATAAATGTTGAGCCGGAACTGAAGGGATGACGGACTCCAAGAACCGCTTCAGATTACACGATGGTGATGGTTCGGTTGCCACTACCTTCGGCACAGCATCAGCCAGCTTAGCTTTTTCCAGAGGCTCATCAACTCGACTCTGAGAGCGGCTGGTAGTGACGTCACTTTGGGCTCTCCGCAGGTGATCTCGACTCCGACGAGCCCTCGCTACGCTGTAAAACCGATCCTCCCCATTTCTGCTCCTATTAAAATGCAATCCTGGACCTAGCATTTCCTCTTATATATATCCAAAAAACCTTATTATCGATATAATTATACACCTATCTGTATAGCCCTATACCCTCTATATATGGCTATATAGGATTATTTTATTAAATTAGTTGTTTCAAACTCAATGTAATCGATTTGAGGAATAATTTCTGGTTTTGAAGGATAAGAGAAATTAAATTAGCGGATTTGTGTCGACAAATTCGAGGAACTGGAGCTGATTAAGAACCAAGCAAGTTATTTCAGATCAAATTTATCACAAGTTCTTCGCGGAGAGAGATGCTAACATTTGTGTGTATGTATATGTGTGTATATTTGATAGGGAGGGGGTCGGGTGGGTGTTCTGAGGATACGTGAGGGAAACAATTTTTTATGTACTTTATCAATTATAGCCCCTGACCCATTACAATTTTTAAAATTTATCTTTCTTATTTTTTATCACTCATTTTTTTTGAATAAAATAATATTACATACGAATTTTAAAAAATTCATTATTTTTCAACCAGACATTCTTTCATCAATCACTATTCCAAAATTTATAAATTCTCCAAAATATGGATCAAACAATGGCATAACGAAGTCACAAATGGTGGTGCAAGGAATTGGTGGGAACTCGAATTTGCCGCTGGAACATAATTTCATTAAAATATTTGTGATTTTGAGAGAATGTATTTTGGAGTAGTAATTTTCTAGAGAATTTATAGGTTACGTGTAATATTATTTTATAAAAGAATGTGTGATTGAAAATAAATTTTTAAAAAAAATGTATTTTAGAAATAATGAAATCCAAACACAAGCTTAAAAGTGTAGTTACAATATACAAGTGGTAAGCTCAAATTCCTACTCATTTATAGTAAACTTGGATTCGAGTCTCATTGAAGAATGATGTCAACAAGAAATATAATTGATTTAGAAGAAGAGAAGAAAAAGAAGAATAATTAGATGAAAAGAAAAATCCTCGAGAATTAAGGAGGAGAATGGATGATAGATATTGTTAAATCAATTTGTCGAAGTAAATTTGTCACAATGAATCCCCGCTTAGGCTCATTTTTTTAAATTATGTTTAATGTTCAACGTAGTGAGCCGTAGTTAAGTTTGGACTATAATAGTTTTTATCTTTAATTTCGTGACATGAGAATTTTAAGAACTAGTTTGTTATTCATATGATAATTTATTGAGTTTAATGAATTTATTCAAAATATTTTCTACAAAACATTAGCATCACGTATGGGTCCAATGGCGATCTTTTACTTTGACAAATGGTTGTAATGGTGTGAAGATGTCAATGCAAGGTTATCTAATAATCTAATTATTTGATAAACACAAATACTTGCGTCTAAATATTGTGCACTTTGTTCTAACATTCCTCAACCGTTTCCCCTTGAATGATGTGTATATTAACTTCTATCAAATATCCTGCCCACAATGAACATGAAACATAATGCACATCGATGATGTGACTATATGATTTTATTTCACTGACGTGGCAATGTCACACTAGTCCCATCAACAGTGAACATTATAATATCCTGACCACTATAAGAAGGAAATCAATTCTATAACTTTTATTTACCCATAAATCACAATCAATAATAGAATTTATATATACAATACATTCATCAGAAAGCTAACAAGACCCGTGAATAATTACGAGAACATGTATATATATTTATATAGCATGTGAAATATTATTTCGACTCCCCTCAAGCAACAATCTAAATTTCTATGTAATGTTTTAATAAATACCAACTTTTTCACGTTTCACGGCTGATCATCTGTTTTGAGGGGCAACTACTAATATTTCAATAATAGGAATCCAACTCAAAAATTTGGAACCGAGCTCTAATAAATTGTAACAAATTGTTTCAATTTAAAAAAAAAAAAATTAACTTATTAAATAGAGTAGTGTAAAAAATGTCTAATTTTTAGGTACAACAAATGGTCGTTGGACCTCTTAACTCTAGGAATGAAATACATTTACTAAACGTTCAAAATTGTACTAAAATTGTCCAAGAAGGAAAAAAAAATTAGGCAGGGCTGACTAAGCACAAAGGATTAACTTTTAAGTACAGAATTTACTCAGAATTTTGAATTTTATCTCACATGAAGATGGGCCCCATGTTAGATAAAATATTGCCAAAACTCCCCCACCCAACCCCCATTGTGTGGTGTATGTAAGTACAGGATTTTTGAAATCCTGTACTTGTAGCATGACCCAATTTATATTGGCTCGACATCTTTGTATATTTTCAACCGTTTCCCCTTGAATGATGTATTAACTTCTATCAAATATCCTGCCCACAATGAACATTAGACAAATGCACATCGATGATGTGACAATACGATTTTATTTTTTTCTTTATTCCTTGCCATTGATGTGGCAATGTCACACTTGTTACATCAACAGTGAACATTATAACCTCCTAACCACTATAAGAAGGAAATCAATTCTATAACTTTTATTTACCCATAAATCACAATCGATGATAGAATTTATATATAGAATACATGTATATATATTTATATAGCAAGACCCATGAATAATTACGAGAACATGTATATATATTTATATAGCATGTGAAATATTATTTCGACTCCCCTCAAGCAACAATCTATATTTCTATGTAATGTTTTAATAAATACGAACTTTTTCACGTTTCACGGCTGACCATCTTAGTTAACTGTTTTGAGAGGCGACTACTAATTTTTCAATAATAGGAATCCAACTCTAAAATTTGGAGCCGAGCTCTAATAAATTGTAACAAATTGTTTCAATTTTAAAAAAAAATTAACTTATTAAATAGAGTAGTGTAAAAAAATGTCTAATTTTTAGGTACAACAAATAGTCGTTGGACCTCTTAATTCTAGGAATGAAATACATTTATTAAACGTTCAAAATTGTACTAAAATTGTCCAAGAAGGAAAAAAAATTAGGCAGGGCTGACTAAGCACAAATGTGACGCGGCTCCTGGTGGATTAGGGTAGATTGAAAATCACATGCTGAATTAATTTGAGTGACACGTGTATGGCTAGATTTTGACGATGCTCATTTTCTTATCTGATGAAATCTGATTGCTTGTCCCGAGGGATGGAGGATGGGGCAGGTCGTGGCCGCGTGAACAACGCCACTGCTAAGGGAGGTGGCCGACATCATTGGGTTAATTAGCCCCGGTTGGCCCATTAAAATGATTATTCATTTTTATCTTTATTCTTATTAATCATACATTTTTTAATAAAATAATATTATACGTAAATCAAAAAAAAAAAATTTTTCTTTTTTAATCACACATTCTTAAAAAATAAAATTCAAAAATTATACTCTCAAATATTGGGAGTCAGACGATAGCTATGATTTCATTTTTATCAAAAAAAAAAAAAAACCTGTAATACTTATGTTTAGTGAAATAGTAATTTAAAGTTAAATAATGCTGAACGAACGTCAACCATGTTCATTACAGCGGGCCAGCTCTTGCCTCATCGGCCTTGTTCGCGACAAGGGACCAGCTCTCCCCTAACCTATCACATGGAGTCAGCTGCCCCCTATCCCGAACAGGGCGATGTGGCTGTATTAGTGTCGCATGGTTGTTTAAAGTTCCCTTCGTACCAAATGAATACTTCCAGTCTTCTACTCTACATTTAGTGTTCATTTGATTTTATTTATTTTTTATTTTTTTACATAATATATTTTATGAAAAATGACTTTTTTAGATACATTTCTCTACCATAAATAAAAGAGTGACTTCCCCATTACTGTTCATAAGTCACGAGCCGAATGGCTTTTTGGCTCGACTCGGTTCGTCTAAGCTTTTTTTTTTTTTTTTAAACAT